TTGCAGGGCGGGCAGGCAAGCCTTGGCCCAAGCTGTCTGCTGCAGCTGAAATTGGAGGTCGCTATAGTGTCCCCCCCTCCCCACCCCTCATCTCTGGCTTCTGGCCTGGGCCACTGCAGGCACGCGGCTGTCTTTCCAGAGTCAAAAGTGAATGTCTGTTCCCTTGCTTATTAGTTCAATCTATGCAGTTTAGACTAACCTGTGAAAATTGAACTGATTCAGCCTCCAACTTTTTGACTGTCTGTATTTAGCCTTTATGTTCTTAGACAATTCTGCTGGTTGCACTGAACAGCATGTTTTCCCCAACAGAAAGACAGTTGTGTCTTTGCATAATTTGTCTCTAGGAAGTAGAAGTTATTGTAAAAGAAATTATGAAAGTTCACAAACCACATTCATGAAAGGATTTTCCTAGGTCACTGTATGAAGTCTGGGGTTGCAGCCACAGTGAGCTCATGGGAGAACTGAGATGGAGCAGTGGCAGTGGCAGCCCAGGCAGGTAAGACTTCCCTTCTCCTCACCCTTGCCTCTGTGCTCCTCCTTCCCCATCCCCCTGTCTACCGTAGTTGCCATACACTGACTGCCCCACCCCAAGCACTCGATACACTCCTTACACCACTGATAACAGCTTATAAAAACAGAAATGCACAGCCATATGGCTGAGCCTCCCACCCAAGCATATCATAGTACCTCACAAACACTGAGCAACAGCAGCCCTCTGAGGTAGGATAAGTAAAAAAAACTTACAAGCACATAAGCCTCATTTCAGAAACATTATAAGCCTAAGGCAAATCAGAATACTTCCAGCCAGACAAGTTCAAGTGATGTTAGGCAACAACACCACACCCTAGAATGCCTTTTCTATAAAATGAGTCATATTTATTCTTTTCAGAATACATTATTTTATGCAGATTTGAAACTACATCACAATCTACCAATAAATTCCAAGTACATCATGGCATTTCCACTGACAACTCATACTTATACTTTGTTTCAGACTTAAGTATAATATAAATTATTAGAAATTGCAGAACATCCTTGAATGTACATAGTGCATGATAATACTAATGGTCATATTCATGATATCTTTCATCAAAGCTTTTAGCATCCATGCAAAGCTATTGCACTGCCTGCAAAACAGGATTGTTTTGTCTATCATCAAAATGTAACCACTGGGTGGAAGTACACTGCTCTTCAAAGAGAAGCAGCAAATCTAGATAAATAAGTAGAAGGAATTTTCAATAGGCAGAATGCAAGTTACCTATATACAATTTAAATCCAGGCATAAGGATCTATCCCTCTAACTTTTCTGAGCAGTGCTACCAGTGAAGCAGTTAAAATACTGGTATAGTCAATGCCCCAAACAGCATACTGGGTCACTGCCTTAGTGCTGACCCAGAACTGTGCCAGCTACTGAATCACCTACAGTCGTCCAGTTACAGCTAGGTATTTCTTGGGAATCTCTCCGAAAGGTAATAACCAAACAGATATAGCCCTTATCAGCTTCTGAGAACAGAGCCTGTGGCAGTATGACTTCAGCCTAGCAATTCTGTCCACTCCCTGATAGTATGACAAGCATTTTACATCATTTGAAACACAAAAATAATAATATGTATATTAAAAAATATCCCTCACTTATTTGAGTGGGTGCTTAGGCTGTGTACAAAGTACTAACATGGCAGCCAGTAGAGACCAGAAGCACTATGGAACTTAAACTGACCCACTTTTAGAAGTAATGGCTGGACTGACAGGCTGACCCTCTGCATTATGCAACTGAGCAACACTAGCAGATACATGATATTTGTGTAGTAGGCAAGTATAATCTCTTTATCCCTTCAGTTTAAAGGTGAAACATTGTTTTTCTTCAGGATCTACCAAACAAAGGTAATGAATCTAGTAGCAGAAAACCTATGGGGTGGGGAATCACTGCTATAACACAATGGATAAAATGTTATTTCATGAATCCCTTGTTCTGACAGACCAGAGTTTAAGCTTTTAGAAAAATCTGCAAGGCCCAATGTGTGCATATTTTTAAGCTTCTGATTTCTTTATTTTTCAGTGCAACTTCCCAATTCCATCTAAACTCCTGCTACAAGCAGCTGATCAGAATCCACTTCAGCAGCAGGACACAAAGCCACTCCAGTGCAGAGGGAGAGGCTGCTGAGTGCTACACTTTGTGCAGCTGTTCTGGGCTCATAGAATAAGACATCCAGACCAGTACTAAGAGGAAAGCAGGCAGGTTCAGTACTAAGTAAGAGCTGACAAGCCCTGACTTAATACATTAGCATCCAATCATGGGGCAATCTTGACTCCTTGGAAGTTGACTCCCTCTCAGTGGCAGGGTACCAGTGGGCATACAAAATACTATGAAGAGAAAAAGATAGCCCAGAATATCTCATTTAAGTTAAGACCCCTTAAAAAGGCATATACATGGAAAAATACATAGTGTACATGATGCAAATACATTCATATATACTGTTTCGTGCAACAATATGGTAAACAATTTCAGAAAATATTCCTATAAAGTTAATGGGTACAAAAGGTAGCTTACTTCCCACTCTTTTGCAAGAACAGATGATGTTTTGCACCAGAAACACAGACTTCTGATCACTTCCAAAAAAGGGTCAGCAGCTACAGGCAACACCTACCTGCAGGTAGCAAAACCAGTCTACCTATTTAACTATTATAAACTTCTCCAGTCTTCAGAGTGACAATTTGCAACAGGAAAGTTTGAAATCATCAAGCTCTTGCCTTTGCTTAAATGTCTAATATGGGATATCAACAATAGATGTTTTCCAAACTAGAATTATCCTTGGTTATCAGCCAGGTATTCACAAACCCTAATTTGCTACAGACTTTAACAATTTCTTTGGTACTTTTAACACTGCCTATCCAACAGGCTACTGTGTTATTTTGCTATTTTTCAAAACTAATATTTAATTATTTCAAACTGTGCTAAAGAACACCCCAGCTAACATATTATAGTTCCTTAACAGCTGTTTCTAACAGTTGCATTCTGAAATGAAGACTATTCTTAATAGGGAGGGAGGTGGAGAGGCTAAAATTAGACATACTTTTCAATGGCAACAAGAATGTTTTACAAGTACATTGAAATTTGGGCTCTGTTGAACACTGCTTATTCTATAGTGATCCTTAGATTCAAACCATATTTTTGTTTTCAAGAGACTAGTGTGGATTACATGGGTCTTTTTAGTTTCTTCTCTAGTGTTAGGCTGAATGCCAGAGATATATGGATCTCATTTGGAGAAATGTATGACTTTTAATTAAGCAAGAGCCAATTCTTTCCTGTAGTGTTTTTACAACAAGGTAATCATTAAAACTCTTCACAGTTTTTCTGTTATTCTGTTGTGCAGCAAGGCAGAGATTTTGGAAGGTGCTGAAAGAACACTGAAAACTAACCAGGGAAATCTGTCAAAATGTTTTAAAGTCCACAGACAAATTCTGCATGCAAAGAAGCAAAACAGTGTATACATTGTGAAGACAGTCTGCTATAGTCATAACCACATTTACAGTGGTAAAAACTAGATGTCAGAAATATTCCATCTCTAGAGTCAATCTATATTTGCACATTCTCTTCATAAACGCCTAGCATAATTCTAGATTTTGTAGCAAAATATTAAAAAGGCCCTAGCTGGGACTCAATGGTTCAGGCTGTAATTTGCATTTTAAAGAGGGATTCAACAACCATGCGCTGTACGAAAAATATAGAAAATGCTGTAAAATAAGGCGACTTGGATAGCTGTCCAGAAAGCACCAGTGTTCCAAATAGTAAGTACTGCTCTGAATGGTTTCTGTAGCCAGAGAAAAAAATCCCTTACTTGAAGATATGACTTTGCATACTAAGAGCAATTTCCCTAGCTATAATTACATACCATTGTTTGCTAGAGAGTCTATGCATAATACGCATTTCACTACAACACAACACCCTTTTATCATGGATTTCTGAGTTCCTCCCCCTTGATAGAAAGTTCTGGTTATCTCTGCTTCTTGTTTTCACTGCTGTAGGTAAATATTTGCTAGCCATATTGTTAAAATACCAATTATATGCCAGACTTCAACATCTCATGCTTGCAATAAGACAGGGAGGCTGATGTCCTTTTCAGTTTAGCCAGTCAGTGGTAGACTCCATCAAAATAGCATTAAGCCAATGTATAAATTAATGGGATTTGAGAACCCAATAACCCAGCCTCTTTAAGTATAAATCCTGTTGAAATTGCTGGGAATGGAAGATGAACGGAACGTGGAATTGCTGGGAATGGAAGATGAATGGAATGTTTTTCAGGATGAAGTCAGTAGATTGAGAGATCCAGGCCTCTGAGTGAGCAACAGGTCATTCATCCCAATACAAATTATCCAACTTGTACTTGCCCTAGTTACACAGAGTATGGATGGAAACAACCATGGCTAAAAAGTAACCTATAATATTTTAATGTATTTTCAGAGCACAATTCAGTTTTATCCTTCCTTAGAAAAAGATCAGATGCACTCTGCAGCTTCATTGAACTGAATCTTGTTTGCTCACCATATGGCTATATAACAAATCAAATTCTTAAAGTAAAAGAAAATAATTCTAATACTTCAGAAATGCAATCATTTACTTTTTATATACTTAAAAAAAAAACCCAAAATTCATGATAATGTTTAATTTTCTATGAAAAAACTCAAGCACAGAGAAAAGTACAATTACTCAAAAGCAGCCTGAAAGAATGTTGCCAACGCTATAACGAAGTGACAAATCCCAGCTGGGCACCACATGATCTTATACACACACATACACACATATCTATCTCCGTAGCGTATGCCAAAATCAGTCCTTGCAAAAAAACAATCTCCAAACCTGCTGTAATGCTGCAGGTTTTTCAAGATACCTTATCAAGGAATGACTGTACAGGTCAACAATAAGATGAAGACTTTGGTCTCAGATATTTAACCCAAATGGAACTTTAGAAATCAAGCTAAATATGTTGGTTTTTATAAAAGAGCAAGAAAAAAAATCACTGCTTACTCACCCTAAATGATCTTTGCTCAGCCTTCTGTTACTCTGATAAGCTAAAAGTACATTGCCTTTTTCCTTCACAGGAAAGTAGTAAACACCAGTAACTCTAGAGGTATTTGGCTATTTGCAGTCATTTAAGTCTGTCTTTTTCCTCCCTCTTAGTAATCATTTTTATTGTGGGAGTTTTTGGACATCAGGATCCCACAGAGCTAAGTACTGTACATTCACAGTGAGAGACAGTCCTTGCCATGAAGGTCTTACTCTTCAGGTAGAAACAGTAGAGGTGGGTGACCAGGCCAGCAACCCTGGGCTCTCTCTTTAGGGAGGAGAGGGAGGAGGAGAAGGAGACTGCACAGAAATACATCGCCACTGCCCAGGACACAGAGCTTCCCTACTACACCTCTGGTTAGACAGGACTGAAAAAGGGATGGAGATATGAAGTGTCATTAACCCCATTTTACAAGCACCAAAGTGGAATGCTAAGGACTTGTCTATACTGCTTCAGCAGTGTGGTCTGACAAGCATGTTGCTGAGCAAACCTTACCCACCTGAGTCTGTCAACTCACCTGGGAGTCAAAAGTGCACTAGTGAGGCTGCTCTAGGCTTGTTTCTTGGTTTCTGTTCCCAAGACCTCAGTCTCTGGCAAGCCCAAGAATGGGTGCTGCAAACAAGTGTGGAACAGGCTTAGGTAGGGCATGCTCAGCCCCAGGCTCCCCAGGTCACACAACAGGTGTGGTACAGACAAGAAGTCCTGCATTAGAAAATCTGAAGAGGATAAAATATAAGATGAAGAGCAATTTACTGAAGACAGTGGATTTTTTTTTTTGGAGGGAGAGGGGTTTTGGGGGAAGGAGAACAGTTCATTCAATCAGTCAATGATGGCCAAAATTGGAAAACTCTTTCATGCTAAACTCCTTTGCTGTTCAGATATGTGAGCATTAAGGATCATTAAATCTCATTTCCCTCCTCCTCCCAGGCTACCAAAAAGATAAACACACACTTCTCTCTGCAAAGAACAAGGAGCAAACAACTGCCTTTGCACTGCATCCCTAAGTAAAACTCACAAAAAGAACAGCTCTTAAAGATGCATAATTATAGAAAAGAATACAGACTATGTATTAGCCCTGCTATAAACAAACATGTCAAGACAAACATGTACAGTTTGAATAACAAGTTGATCACTTTCTCTATCCATTGCAAAGCTGGCAAATCAGTGAGCAACACAGATCTTCCTCAACTTTAGGAAAGCTAACTTTCACAAGCTCAGGAGGTTGGTTGTTGAGGCCCTGAGAGACCATGATCTGACAGAGAGGGAGCCCATGATGAGTGGTCACTCCTTAAGGACATGATCCTAAAAGCCCAAGGGAAGTCCATTCTGGCATGTAGGAAAGGTAGCAAAAGGGCTGGGAGACCCCCTTGGCTCAATAGGGAACTCATGGACCTCCTGAAACTGAAAAGAGAAGCTTATAAGGCATGGAAATCGGGAACTACCACTAAGAAGGATTATGCAGCGCTGGCCCACACCTGTAGGGAGCAGACAAGAAAAGCCAAGGTCTGAAACCAAACTCAAACTGGCTATGGGAATCAGGGACAATAAAAAGTCCTTTTTCAAATATATGGGAAGCCAGAAAAAAAAACAAGAGCAATATTGGACCCTTGCTGAACCAAATCGGGCAGCTGACATCCAGGAAAAAACTAATCTCTTCAACGATTACTTTGTGTCAGTTTTCCACCAGCCCAAGGGGATCACTCTGCCTGACAGGATGCAGGACTGCCAGGGTAAGGGCAATCATTCTAATATTATGAAAGCCTTAGTCTGTTTGTCTGTCTGTAATGCTTTATTCGTACTCTGATTGACTGTCTCAGCAGTCAATCAGAGTGCTCCAAGAGCGTTCGGATTGCAAGTGGTGGTGGTGCCGCACCAGGACACTGCCATGACAGCAGGGACAGAGGGGAAGGGGAGGGCCAAGGCCAGCTGTGCTGGCATCGCCCCCCTCCCCCCCCCAGCTCTGCTTCACGAAGGAGGTGGAGGTGGAGGTGGAGGCGGTGGCAGTGTGATGGGGGTGGGGAACAGGGTTGGACCCATGGTGATGGCATGGAGGGGAGGAGAATGGGTCCAGACCCACTGCGGCACAGGGGAAGAGCAGGCCTGGACACGGCCATGATGGCGGGGACAGAGGGGAAGGAGCAGGGGGGCGAGGCCAGAGCAGCTGGCCTCACACTGCTCCCCCCTGCCCTGCTCCCAGGAGGCAGCGGCGGTGGTGTGGACAGAGTGGGGGACAAGGCCAGCTCTGCTGGCCTTACCCCCCGCCCCCTGCTCCCTGGATGCAGTGGTGGCATGGGGTGCTGGGTGGCACTGCTCCATCCACACCCCACCACGTCATTCATAGGAAGGGGAGGCAGATGGACATAGGCCAGGTGGACATGGGAGGGAAGCAGGCCTGGCCCCACAATGGCAGTGGGGAGGGTCGGGGAGAAAGGATGTGGAGAAGCTTGAAAGAGTCCAGAGGAGAACCACACACATGATTAGAGGACAGGAGAACAGGCCTTATGAGGAGAGGATGAAAGGCATGAGACTCTTCAGCCTGGAGGAGCAAAGACTCAGGGGTGACTTGGTAGCAGCCTATATGTATATAAGGGGTGTGCTTCAGGAACTGGGAGAACGTCTGTTCAGCACGGTACCCCAAGAGAAGACAAGGTCTAACAGTCACAAACTGCTGGAAGACCATTTTAGACTGGACATAAAGAAAAACTTCTTTATTGTTCAAGTCTCCAGAGTCTGGAATAGATCCCCCCAGAAGTGGTGCAAGCACCTACTCTGGATACCTTTAAGAAATGCTAGGATGCTTATCTTGCTGAGGTGATCTGACCCCAGCTGACTTCCTGCCCCTGGGGCAGGAGGCTAGACTCGATGATCTCACAAGGTCCCTTCCAGCCCTAATGTCTATGAAATCTATGAAATCTATGAACAAATTAATGAAAGGAAATATGCTGTTAGGGACATCTGAAATACTTTCCCTCTCTCCCCCTTCCTTCCCCCTTAACAAAGATTTTAAGAAGTGAGGATTTCAGGCCAATGTCTCTTTTTCAAAGTGCATTTAAAAAGCCTTTCTAGAAATATGGTGAAATGTGTTTTTTGTTTTCTCTAAAAACCTTAACTCAGTTGTAGTACTATTAGCCCAGGTGAACATTAACCCAGGGTGGAAATGACAGACAGTGAAGTTTTGGATACACTGTCAAGATGCTCAAGAAAGCTAGATTTTGTTTTACAAATCTGACTGAGATCTATATTTACTATAATGGCTACAGGACTAATAAAACAATTTATTTGGACTATTTTTGCCCAGCTTGTGCTTCTAAACTTAATACAAATGCTAGCAAATTAGTACACATTCCAATAAAGTTATTTGTTTTTTCTTTGATCTTAAATTGAATAATACAGCACTAGGCTCTTAACTTATTAAAAAGAAACCAGAAGATTTACTAACTGGAGAAAATTGCATGTTGAATTATATGTGATGATACACAACACCACCTGAACCCCACTTCTCAAAATCCTAGATCTGCTCATGAACTCCAGACATAAAACCAGTCTGATAACATCTTGCAAGCATCATCTTAATATATTTACAACAGAGTAAGTTCTTCCTCTTATTTATCACCAGCATGGGGATGGCTGGGCAAGCAGGATGAGCCCTAGGTACTGCCTAAGGGCAAGGGCAGCACCAGAGTGAAGTGGGGGGGTGCCTCACCCTCCTGATCCCCCTGCACTTTCTGGCTCCAACCCCAGCAGTAAGCATCAGCTGTGGCACATATGTCAGTGACCGCAGTGTAGTCCTGTGGAGTGGCAGTGGCTGGGTGGAGGTGGCACCCTATTTTGTACTGCCAAAAACAGGAGGTGAGAAAAACTTCAGAGGAACTTGCTTGTATCTCTGTGACAGAAACTCAGCAGCAAGGTGAAACAGTGCTGTGCAAAGGGATGTACAAGAGACTAAGGAAAAAGGAAGGGGAGGCTCTCCAAATAGGGACTGGAGTGACTACTTGTTCTGCTATGTAATTGGGTTGCAAGAAGCTCTCACAGCTCCAGCACTTCAAAGGCTCCCCCTAACACTGTAGTCTCAGCACACAAAGAAGCAGCACCCCACTGGTGTTGCAAACAGTTCAGTGATGGCATTCAAAGCAATCTTGCTGTGGAGTCTGTAAGCATAGCTGGAAGAAATGGGTATGCAAGCTGATGGCATTGTGGATGCAAGTGTCTTTTGTTGCAGGTTATCACCAATTGCAACGAATATGCTGACTGATGACTTAAGGGTAATTACAGGAAGGGCTCATTTAAATCACTTTGCTACTGCACAGTTAAGGGTTGTTGGGGGGCACCTACGGTACCAAAAGTTGCTTCCTTTTTCAAATGGATGCGAGTGTTTCCAAATAAACAGCTGCCAGCTTTGCTGATAAAGTCCTAGATATTTACTGACTAGTCTGGTTGCATCTGAACTGAAGCAAGTGTAACTACATTAGATTCCTCCTCTGAAGGAATAATGGAGTCAAGGAGCCACAATTAGGGGTCTAAAGACATCCTAAGCCTGAAGATTATTAAGTATAAGTGTATTGGTTTTCTAAATAAATCTTCCCTGTAAATAAATCTTTGAACCACATGTATCTGGCAGCAATGAAAGTTGCTGCAAATAGAGTGAGATAATGTGAAGCCCCTGCAGATTAAAAAATACTTAGAGATGGGGAAAAATCTTTCAAGTTGCTGGAACATGTTTAATACATTTCACTTCTAAAAAAGTAAACACTTGTTAGAGATCCTGTAATGTAATTACTGTGCAGAGAGAGGGAGACAGGATAGCCAGGTCAAACTGGACTTTTAAGGCAAAGCTGAAATAAAGAAGCTTCTTGAGTTCCTCACAATATCAGAAAGGGGAAATGAAGCTAGCATGGGAAGTCAGTATGACATTAAATGTACTGCAGTTCATAAGGATATAACCTGACTCCAAGAATTAAAAAGACACCCAAGCCTGGAGCTCTCCTGCTCTAATTGCTTACAGGCTAAAATTGTTTGCTTACAGAGTCTGAATTGGTAGCAGACATGCAGAGGTTCAGAATTTGCCTACCCTTAAAGTCTTCTGGAGGACATTATTTTTTTGCCTACAGCAATCTTCACTAAGCGTCAGATGCAAATCTCACATCTGACAGAAAACATCTTCCTTTGCTGACTGATAGAAATCATTGACCACACTTGGAACTGAGACATAAAAGATGTACTCACATATTTTTGTAGCAGGCATTTCCTAAGTTCAGAACATGACATTTTTTTATTATACAGTGAAATAACCTGACCACATACATCAATTCTTTCTTCTAGCTGATCTGATGCAGCTTCCTCGAAAAAAGCCATATTTTGGTATCCAAACTCTAAGTTATTGCATGTAGTTAGCTGATAATCATAGTGCCACATAAGCAAAGGACTGCCTTATACAAACAACGATTTTAACCCACATAAATTTCAGTTTATGATTTTCCAGTCAATGATTTTTCCTCTAAATATTTGCCTATCAAGGGCAGTGACCACCACAGTGGACCATTAAGCCAGGTAGCCTCCAAATTGTTCATAACTTTTTTCTGCTATTCCTAGTGCAGGGTTGTAGAAGTGCATGACCCTACTCAGCACAGAACTAAGTTATGACTGAGCTATTTACAGAGGTTCCACCTCAGTTTTTCCATTGTCAGCCCCTCAGACTCCATCAGAAGAGCCTCTGTAACATCAGCTTTCTCTAACCCTGACTCCCCAGTTCTGAAAAGTATACAAGCAATCCCCATTCTGCTGCTCTCTCAACTTTCTTTAGGTAATTCCTGCAAATTCCCATCAGATCTTTGTTAGTTGCCTCCTCCAGGAAATTCCTTCAGAAACTGCAAATGCCGTTTCTAATTTCTCTTACCCCATTTATTAGGCTCTTGTAGCACCCCACCCTCTGGCTATAGTTTCAACTGAGATGCACCTGCTGTATCACAGGGTAGCAGGACTTACCTAAATTAATGGTATTAGCCACCTTGCAATAAAGGAATTCATATTTCATGCAATCTTGATCCTCTTGCCTTGGAAACAGAGAATGGCTGGTATGGCCACTTGGTCTCTGTCGGACAGAAGTGCACAAGGCCCTAGGTTGGACTATAATCTCTGCACCCATGTTTTAGAAACTTGTGGTCTACCCAGATGGCTTGTTCCATTCAATATTTAAGATTTTAAGATGCTTAGAAACCAATTAGCTTAAAGATGAAAGATGGGACTGAGCCAAAATGTTCAGATCTAGGGGTACTTAAATGTGTGCTTAATTATAAGTATGGTGACAGCCCATTAACTTCAATGATTGTTAAGATCTGTAAATCCTTTTGAAGATTAAAACTGGTATGAAGGTGTTAAAAGTGCAGCTGAAAATTGAACTTCTGCATCCCTTTTTTTTTACTGTAAGAACGATACTGGGAGACTTTTTTAAAACAACTGAAAAATGTGCTGAAGAAGGCATTTTTGCTGTGGTATATTGCAAACAGGTCACTTACCAATCAGAAAACCAGTGAAATAATTAAACAGCTATACAACTGACTGGAAAATCTCTCTATCTGTATGACTCTGATGTGTGTTGGTGTCATCAGTATCCACTTACCTTCCCAGCTCTTCCCCAATTTCATATAGATCTTCTACCTTCTGCTGTTTGAACACAGCCATACCTGGTCTCCTCATTGATGCACATAAATAAGACAGCTGGAATATTAAATACACAGGAGTCAGGCTCATCCTGCTGTTTTAGAATAGCATATAACCAACCACGGCAGACAAAACATCATTCACACTTCACAATGATCAGTTTGAATATTCCAGCTCATCAATGGTCAGTATTATCATGGACTGATAGCTAGTCTGTTAACTATGTGAAATGAGGTCGGTGGCATCAGTCCAGAAGCCAGGGCCAAATTCGGAGAGGAGCAGAGTGTCTTCAACTTTGACTGCATGGGGTTTCTGGTCTCAAGTCAAAGTCCTTTACCTCAAGTGTGGAAATAAAGCTATGACTTACACGAGATAAAGTTAAGCATATGCTTGTTTTGCAAATCAGAAACCCTAAGGCAGGGGTCAGCAACCCCCAACATGCATGCCAGAGCATGGCACGTGAGGCCATTTTCCCCAGCATGCCACAGCCGACCCAGGCTCTGGGTAGCTGCCCCTGGAGGTGGAGCCCAGGCTGCTAGCAGCAGGTAGCTGGCAGGCTGCAAGCAGCCCAGGCTGCATGACAGGCAGCAGTTGCCCAGAGCCTGGGCCGGTTGTAGAAGGCAGCTGGAAGACTGCAAACAGCTGCACTGGGGTCTGTTCAGGCTCTGTGTCAGCAGTGGCTACATGCACACCTCAGGATACACAGCTGGGAAGGGGGCAGCACAACTCTGAGGTGCATGTGCAGTCGCTGCCACCACAGAGCCAGTGCTGGGGCTCCGGACCCCACTGCAGCTGTTTGTAAACTGCCCGCTCCCTGCTGCACTTCCCAGTGCCTGGGCTGGCTATGGCAGCGCCTAGACGGCTGCAAAAAGCTGCACCAGAGCCCTGGCTAGGCTTCATAGTAGTGGTGGCTGCACAAGCACCTCAGGTCGCATGGCCAGGAAGGGGCCTGGGGCAACGGCAACCCCAGCCCCTCCCTTGCCATCTGCCCAGAGGCACACACGGACCGACCACCAGCAACTGGTATTGGGCCCCTCATGGGTCCCCTGTAGTCTGCCTTTGGCATGCCAAGATGAGGCATGGGTGGAGGTGTGGGTATTTTTGGCACTCTGGCCAAAAATGTTGCTGATCCCTACCCTAAGGGATCAGTATCACAGAAAAATCCCTGTCAGAACCAGCAGCACTAATTGGCAGTCTCAGCAGAGGCCAAAAACTGAATGAGACAGAACTCTTTTTTCTTACCAGAAGTGGCCAATGCTACAGTAAGGTGGTGGAGCTTATTTTATGGCTGTGCAGATAAAGAAAGGGATTCAGTCCATCACCTTACATCAAACATGGAACATTTCAAACAGGAAACATAATAGCACTGGGCAATTTCATGTTCGGGTATTTATAGCTCTGCACAGCCATGAGGCACATCCAGGTTTGTTTCTGACAGGTCTGATTTCTTTCAGGAATGCAGATCTGCACAGGCAATGCCTGGTCTAGGGGGCTCTAGGATCAGGAAGTGCCCTACACTGCTCCATAGTAACTGCTCCCAAATATACAAAGAACAGTAATAGCCTTTGAAGGGTGTCTTGCCCAAAGGAATGTTATCAAAGCATAGAACAGAGGATTTTGAAAGGTCTATAAACCAAAGATTCAAGTAGCTGAGTAGGCAAGGGGTATGGGTCCCTTATTTTTTCCTCCCTCATGCTGGGTTCAAAGCTTATAGATGTCCTGATGGTTAGAAATAACATATGATTCCAAAGATTCTGGGAGGATGAAATAAAGAATGAACCATGTAGGACCATGATATTAGTTATGTTACAAAATAGCTTAGAAGATGCTAGGATGCTGTTCCAATGAGAGACGTGTTAAAAACACACACGTTGGTTCATGGTCTATGTGCTTGGGGCTCCTAGACATGATGCTAAATCACTGCCCCACCCCCTTCAACTCTTTCCCTCCCCCCCACTCCAAACCCTGCAATGCAGAGCTCCCAAGCTTTAATTTTACATGGTAACATTTTTGGAAGAGGAGGTTCTGTAAAAAGGAACTGAATGCTTTTTAAAATGTTACTTGTTAAAACTCTTCTACCCAAGCAGCTTTCATAATAAAATGGCAATTTGAGGGACTCACAGGGGAAGAGAGACCCAAAACTTGACCTTAGAATTGCTAGGAAGTGTCCTAGATGCCTTTATGAATTTTTTGTTTTGTTTTGTTTTTTAAGTATCGCCCAAAAGTGTGCCCACTCCTGTTAACTCTGTTTTACATACCTTATTCCTTTCCCTTTCTATCTAGATGGTTTGATTGTTACCATCCCCAGACAGGAAACAAACACAGACACTGTTCACAGAACACATCCATACAAAGTTTATTCTGGTGGTACACTGAATTCCATTGGTACCTGCTGACATTTTTATAACATATTTGGTCTTTCCAGCGTAAGCCTATGAACCCAGGTTACAGCCACTATGTAGGCCAGAAAATTTATTTATTTATTTATTTAAAAAATTGGCTGAGGGGGG